AGGGGGTGACACAGTGACAGAGTTAGGGAGGGAGTGACTAGTGACAGAGAGAGGGATGGAGTGACTAGTGACAGTCACCCCCTCTCTCACTCTGTCACTAGTCACACCCTCTCTCACTCTGTCATTAGTCACCCCCTCTCTCACTCTGTCACCAGTCATCCATTCCTTCACTCACTCTGCCACTAGTCATCCCTTCCCTCACTTTGTCACCAGTCACCCCTTCCTTCCTTCACAATGACAGAGTTAGGGAGGGAGTGACTAGTGACAGAGAGAGGGATGGGGTGACTAGTGACAGAGTAAGGAAGGGGGTGACTAGGGAGAGAGGGGGTGATTAGTGACAGAGTGAGGGAGCGGGTGACACAGTGACAGAGTTAGGGAGGGAGTAACTAGTGACAGAGAGAGGGGTGGGGTGACTTCCCTCCCTCACTCTGCCACTAGTCACCCATTCCCTCACTCTGTCACTAGTCTCCCATTCCCTCCCTCTGTCACTAGTCTCCCCCTCTCCTTCCCTCTGTCACTAGTCACCCACTCCCTCACTCTGTCACCAGTCACCCCCACTCACTGTGTCTCCCCCTCACTCTGCCACCACTCAACCCCTCCCTCACTCTGCCACCAGGTACCCCCTCACTCTGCCACCTGTCACAACCTCCCACACTCTTCCACCTGTCACCTTCTCCCTCACACACTCTGTCACCTGTCACATATGCATTCATGTAGTCATCCAGACATGCACAAGTGCATTCACACAGACTCAAATACAAACATGCATTGATACACAGGTCTTCACAATACACACATCCAAAGGAATGCCGTATTATGAATTATATTTAACATTTATAAAAATGCACATATATTTGGCCTTCAAAGGGCCTGGGATCTAATTTTGCCCGGGGGCCCCAAAGGCTCTCAGTCCGCCCCTGCTTGGACCCATTCTCTTTAATATTTTTATTAGTGATATTGCAGAAGGTCTTGATGGTAAGGTATGTCTTTTTGCTGATGATACTAAGATATGTAACAGGGTTGATGTTCCAGGAGGGATAAGCCAAATGGCAAATGATTTAGGTAAACTAGAAAATGGTCAGAATTGTGGCAACTGACATTTAATGTGGATAAGTGCAAGATAATGCATCTTGGATGTAAAAACCCAAGGGCAGAGTACAGAATATTTGATAGAGTCCTAACCTCAACATCTGAGGAAAGGGATTTAGGGGTGATTATTTCTGATGACTTAAAGGTAGGCAGACAATGTAATAGAGCAGCAGGAAATGCTAGCAGAATGCTTGGTTGTATAGGGAGAGGTATTAGCAGTAGAAAGAGGGAAGTGCTCATGCCATTGTACAGAACACTGGTGAGACCTCACTTGGAGTATTGTACACAGTACTGGAGACCGTATCTTCAGAAGGATATTGATACCTTATAGAGGGTTCAGAGAAGGGCTACTAAACTGGTTCATGGATTGCGGGATAAAAATTACTAGGAAAGGTTAAAGGATCTTAACATGTATAGCTTGGAGGAAAGACGAGACAGGGGGGATATGATAGAAACATTTAAATATATAAAGGGAATCAACACAGTAAAGGAGGAGACTATATTTAAAAGAAGAAAAACTACCACAACAAGAGGACATAGTCTTAAATTAGAGGGACAAAGGTTTAAAAATAATATCAGGAAGTATTACTTTACTGAAAGGGTAGTGGATGCATGGAATAGCCTTCCAGCTGAAGTGGTAGAGGTTAACACAGTAAAGGAGTTTAAGCATGCGTGGGATAGGCATAAGGCTATCCTAACTATAAGATAAGGCTAGGGACTAATGAAAGTATTTAGAAAATTGGGCAGACTAGATGGGCCGAATGGTTCTTATCTGCCGTCACATTCTATGTTTCTATGTTAATAATGAACGAGGATTATATTAGTGATATAAACCCGGGTAATAATGACAGAGGATTAGATTAGAGATATAAACCTGGGTAATAATGACAGAGGATTATATTAGTGATATAAACCCGGGTAATAATGATAGATGAGATTATATTAGTGATATAAACCCAGGTAATAATGATAGAGGATTATATTAGTGATATAAACCCGGGTAATAATGACAGAGGATTATATTAGTGATATGAACCCTGGTAATAATGACAGTGGATTATATTAGTGATATAAACCCGGGTAATAATGATAGATGAGACTATATTAGTGATATAAACCTGGGTAATAATGATAGAGGATTATATTAGTGATATAAACCCGGGTAATAATGACAGAGGATTATATTAGTGATATAAACCCTGGTAATAATGACAGAGGATTATATTAGTGATATAAACCCTGGTAATAATGATAGATGAGATTATATTAGTGATAGAAACCCTGGTAATAATGATAGATGAGATTATATTAGTGATATAAACCCTGGTAATAATGATAGATGAGATTATATTAGTGATATAAACTCGAGTAATAATGATAGATGATTATATTAGTGATATAAACCCGGGTAATAATGATAGATGAGATTATATTAGTGATATAAACCTAGGTAATAATGATAGATGAGATTATATTAGTGATATAAACCCGGGTAATAATGATAGATGAGATTATATTAGTGATATAAACCCGGGTAATAATGATAGATGAGATTATATTAGTGATATAAGCCCGGGTAATAATGATAGATGAGATTATATTAGTGATATAAACCCGGGTAATAATGATAGATGAGATTATATTAGTGATATGAACGCTGGTAATAATGACAGTGGATTATATTAGTGATATAAACCCGGGTAATAATGATAGATGAGACTATATTAGTGATATAAACCTGGGTAATAATGATAGAGGATTATATTAGTGATATAAACCCGGGTAATAATGACAGAGGATTATATTAGTGATATAAACCCTGGTAATAATGACAGAGGATTATATTAGTGATATAAACCCTGGTAATAATGATAGATGAGATTATATTAGTGATAGAAACCCTGGTAATAATGATAGATGAGATTATATTAGTGATATAAACCCTGGTAATAATGATAGATGAGATTATATTAGTGATATAAACCCGAGTAATAATGATAGATGATTATATTAGTGATATAAACCCGGGTAATAATGATAGATGAGATTATATTAGTGATATAAACCTAGGTAATAATGATAGATGAGATTATATTAGTGATATAAACCCGGGTAATAATGATAGATGAGATTATATTAGTGATATAAACCCGGGTAATAATGATAGATGAGATTATATTAGTGATATAAGCCCGGGTAATAATGATAGATGAGATTATATTAGTGATATAAACCCGGGTAATAATGATAGATGAGATTATATTAGTGATATAAACCCGGGTAATAATGATAGAGGATTATATTAGTGATATAAACCCGGGTAATAATGATAGATGAGATTATATTAGTGATATAAACCCGGGTAATAATGATAGATGAGATTATATTAGTGATATAAACCCGGGTAATAATGATAGATGAGATTACATTAGTGATATAAACCCAGGTAATAATGATAGATGAAATTATATTAGTGATATAAACCCGGGTAATAATGATAGATGAGATTATATTAGTGATATAAACCCGGGTAATAATGATAGATGAGATTATATTAGTGATATAAACCCGGGTAATAATGATGGATGAGATTATATTAGTGATATAAACCCGGGTAATAATGATAGATGAGATTATATTAGTGATATAAACCCGGGTAATGGGTGAGTAGCGGATTTCCCCAGATCACTCATTAACCCCCTCCGCCCCGGACGCTGGATGCCGTTTCGCGCATGCGCAGTCCGGAAGTGATGTTCCGTAACCTGGATAACCCGCAGCCCCAGTGAGTGCGCATGCGCAGTGTGGGCTCCGGGCCGGGTGTGTCGGTCCCGCCGTCTCACGGTCCTGGTTTCCGGTCAGGATGTCGGACGCCACAGTGGCGGATACTCGCCGGCTAAACTCCAAGCCGCAGGACCTGACTGATGCTTACGGGCCGCCCAGCAACTTCCTGGAGATCGACATCTTCAACCCCCAGACGGTGGGAGTGGGACGGAACCGGTACACTGTGTACGAGGTCCGCATGCGGGTGAGATATGTCGGAGATCCACCCATGCCGGGTGTCAGTGTGGCCATGCAGGGAGCCTGATACACTGAGCCTGGAGAAATGAGCACACTGTCCCTTTAATTACTCACATTCACATGTCTGTCTGTCTGTCTGTCTGTATTAATAATACTCTGGCTATATCTCCCCATGTTACAGATGGCATGGATTTTAATATTGGATTAACATGTATATTTTCTGTCCCCCTGCTAACATGTGATCTTTGCCTTGCTACATGATGGCTGACCTTTGAACCCCCAGCTGATGTGCACCAAGTTGCCCATTGTGCCTGCAAAGACTTATGGGAAATGGAGTACACAGAAATTTGGAGTGCAATGAGATGGCTGTCAGTGCTGCAGTTGATAAGGATGGGGTTGTGTTAGTTGTCAGTGATTATAGGGATGGGATGAGCAGGAACGTGACTAGTTTCCTTTAGTCTAAATGACAATAGCTGGAGCTGTTATTTAAAAGGTGGGCAAGAAGATGTACAGCACTGCAGAATTTGTTGGCGCTATCTAAATAATAATCATGTAAGAAACTCCTGTGACATTGCTGTTTGGTCTACACAGCAGCCTCTTGTCATATTGGTACATTACAGCGTAAATCACCTAAAATGTTTTTTGTTCTTCTAGGAATATTACTGAAAATGGTTGTCACATTTCCTATTTTCTACCACAGAAGAATTACTTTGTGACGTTTACACGCGACCATTTACCTCAAACTAATACCACTTCCGATATTACTGGTTTAGGTGATGCAAGTCTGATCTATAAAATCCTTAGTGTTTGATCCTTAGCTATTACATCATTGTCTGTGTGCGCCTAGTTGGCCATATACAAATATGAGCCCTTTGTGAGATGAGATCACAATAATTGTTCCTGCTAATGCCTCTTTTGTAGACTCAACCACTTAAGCAGATGAGAAATTCTGTATCAATCCTGTTGCAAAAATAACCCTAAAGAACATTTATTGTAGGGAAAGATTTTATGTTCATGATCCAGTTTATTTTGTTGACTTGATAAAACTTGCAAGTTATGATGTTCTCACATCAATTTTTTTTTTTTTTTTTTCCTCTGCTTACTGGCTTGTATCTTTTGCTGCTGTTTTAAAGTACTCCCATAAAGATGTTTCTGTAAAGGTTATTTAATTGGGTACACATTTGGGGTTTAAATGTTAAACAGCATCTCTTCACTAAGTACCATATTTCATTTTGCGAATTCAGCTGGTTGTATTCGCCTCAATGCTTCTCTGTTTGATTGTTAGAGGGACACTCTAAGCACCAAAGTACTACATCTTAATTTAAAGGAAAGATGAGGGAAGAAGAGCATTTCTATAAGAAGGGAAAAAAACCTAACCGCACAACATTTATGTGGGATAAACGGACAACTCCAAACTTATTCAGGCTTAAAGGGACACTCCAGGCACCCAGACCACTTCTGCCAATTGGAGTGGTCTGGGTGCCAACTCCCATCACCCATCACCCATAACCCTGCAAGTGTAATTATTGCAGTTTTCATAAACTGCAATATTTACTTTGCAGGGTTAAGTCCTCCTCTAGTGGCAGCCAGTAGAGGACACTTCCATGTTCATAGAACATGAAACGTGTGTTATAACGACGTTGGACGTCCTCACGCTACGTGAGGACCACCAGCGTTGCCGAAATACCCATAGGAAAGCATGTGCATTAGGTCTTCCCCCGCCGCCGGCCGCGCATGCTCTATAGGTCTCCCCCGCCGGGGAACATCGGTTTTAACCCCTACAGCAACCTGGGGTGGGAGGGAGAGGGGAACTGCAGTGCCGGGAAAACGGTTTGTTTTCCTGGCACTGGAGAGTCGCTTTAAAGCTGCCCATCCGGTTTATGTTGTTTCATAAAGGTGTTCTGTGATTTATCACTTTACTGGTCTGCAAATGGCTTAGGAAGCTGCTAGCATTCCTGTTGAGCGGTCCTTTTATTCCTGACAGAATTTGAAGTCCTGCTTTTTCAAACGACTTTCTAATCATGGAGGTAAGCAACCTTATTGATGATGTGGATGCTGCTTAATGGAACACGACAGTGTTAGGAATACAGAATGTCTATACCTAATTCTATAGTGCCCTGGTGGCCATTTAGGTTCCCCCACTTGCAGGGAAAATAAAAAATTGAGATCAATGATCTCAGCTATTCTAATACTTTCTCGTAGGAAGCATTGGGGGCTATCTGCACCAATCAAATACTCTCTCTAAGAGATGAGCAATCACTTTGGCATGAAATGTGGAACTAATTTCAAATTTGCTCTATCTGGGAGACAGAGTGAATAGCCTCTTAACCTAAAGGGATTCTATAGTGTTGGGAATACAGATTTGTATTCTTAACACTATAGTGTCCTCTGGTCCCCCTCCCTCATGGCACATGAAGGGTTAAAAACACTTTATTCACTTTCCCGATTCCAGCACTGATTCCTTGGCGATTTGTTGGCACTCTGCCTCCTAAAACACCATCTGACAGGTGGACCTAATGCCCATGTGCGTTGAGCACTGCAAGTGCATTAGGCCCTCCCCATAGAGAAGCATTGCCTCAATTCTTTTCTTTGGGGATTTCACGGACACTAGATGTCCTTATGAAGAGTGTGAGAATGCCAAATGTTGTTTAAGGGACTCTGAGTCCTCTAGAATCTTGGAAGCACCTCTAATGGCTGTCTGATAGACATCCACTGGAGGCAATCTTAGTTCTGCAAAGTAATAACTGCAGTTTTTTTTTTTAAAAACGACATTGATTTACATTGCAGGACTAAGTGATACATGGACACTGCACACAGACCACTTCAATGAGATGAAGTGGTCTGGGTGCCTATAGCAGTACTCTGCAGATCCCAGGCCGGTTATCTGAGACGGCGATGGAGCGTGCAGCCGGCAGATGGAAAGCAGCGGTGGCTGGCCACATGTGGGAGAGTGGAGGCGACGAGCTGTGCAGAACAGAGACGGCAAGGGAGCTGTCAACTCCCTGCTCTCTTCCCTCGTGCACCCTGCAGTGATCCCTGGAGATAGAATGTCACTCTGGCGCTGGCATTACTAAACTGTGTGGGACAGGGAGCAGAGCAGGAAGATGACAGCAGCCCCACTGGAGCACAGGGAAGGGTTTAAATTAAAAAATATAATTTGAGTGTGTGTTTAGATGACTGGCCCCCCTCTGATCACATGGGAAAGGTTATTTTACTCACCTTTTTTTTTTTCCCACGCCATGCTGATCTTGCCGTGGCAGGCCCCACCTCAGTGGTTGAGATGATAAATCTTGATGATCTCAGCCAAGCCAATGCTTTCCCATAAGAAAGCTTTGGGAGGCTATTGCGCATGTGCTAATCAGCATCTCCTCATAGAGATGCATTGAATCAATGCATCTTTAAGGGAAACAGTGTATCCATGCAGAGCATGTTGACGCTGAATGTCATTGCTACCCACTGCAGCACTGAAATAGGAATCGCATCTAGTGGCTGTCTGAGCGACTGTCACTAGAGGTGTTACTTGGCAGCAATGTATACTGATATTTGAAAGCCTGCAAGGACAGGCTATAGATACCAGAACCTCTACATTCATCTGCAGTGGCTCTGGTGACTTTAGTGTTCCTTTTAAGAATTTTATTATTGTAGCTGAAAAGGCAGCTTTGTTAGTTAAAAATACCTGACTCCTAACTTTTTTTTTGCTGGTTTCTAGATTCCAAGGAAACCTGTCAATCCCTGGCCTATAGTGTCCCTTTAAAGTGTACCTCTGAAGCTTTAATAGCGTTTAGAAATTCCGATTTTTAACCAAAGCACCAGAATGGAGTATAACTTGAAATAGATTTTTTTTTTTTTTATCCCCATTATCATTGTAGGCATATCTTCGGCTGTAACATAAGACTTTATTGGAGGTCTGATCAAAGAGCTCCTTTCATGAATCTTTTGATTACTGGATCTATCCATGGAATATTGGTTATATTAGAAAAGGCTGATGCTTGAACTTTTAGATAAGTATTGGAAAATATTAAAGGATCATTCCACTGCCCAAAAGCACTTCAGTTTATAAAAAATCTGATTTCTGTGAGAAATCATCAGTTTTTTTTTTTTAAATTAACTAGGGAACTCCCCCCCTGGCTGTCAAACAGCCAGGCAGGCACACTCTCTACTTGACCTCAGACCAGCTCCTCAGCTATGCGCTGTACTCCCAATGTATACATACATAAAAATATGCATGTATTCATTGGGGGTATATCTACTAAACTTCTGCTGCATAATTTATGCTAAATAATTAACAGGTAGGAGAAATACTTACATATGCTAGCAATGTGTAGATAGCATAATTTGTACCTGGCATGACATGTACAGTTTAAAGTCCAACTTTAACATCAAAACTGCACTACATAGCTGGTTTCTGGTCACTGATCCTTCTGGATCATAGCCCATGCTTTGCTTTAAACAAATAACATTTCTAAAGCTATTTGCAAAAATGGAGTATGAATTTTAAAACACAATGCCTGTCTGTGCTCATTTGCTGTCAAACTGGGAACAGTTTCTTGAGTTTTTGTGCCAATGGAGGACTTTCCAAAGTCCAACTTCAGATATTCAAGTGATGCATAACAGTAGTTTTCTATTTGCACTGTGTGGAGTTTTGTTTGGTTTCACCACAATTGTTTTGGCACCTAGATGTGTGTGTATGTATGTGTATATGTATTTTTGTGTGTGTGTGTGCATTTTATGTATGTGACGCATTTGGCTAATTAAAAAAAAAAAAAAAAAAGTGGCTATTGAATGTATTTTAGATCAAGATTGTTCATGAAAATATCAGTGGTTCATTGTATTCACAAACAATCAAATGTTAATCAGATTTAGCCTAATGGATCCTTGCTATTTTCAGATTGATCTAATTTCTGCAGAGAGATTCGTATGAAAATAGCTCAGCAAAATAACACCAGAGTCTCCATATTATAGTTGGGAGAAAACAAATCTGCCACTTAAAAGGACACTATGGTGTCAGGAATACAAACATGATCGCTCTCGTAAGGGGATTTTACTCACTTTTCCCCCCCCCTCAATGTGGTTGGCACCGCCTGGTACCAGCTCTGGCCTCAGCCAATCCAATCCTTTCCCATAGGAAAGCATTGGGAGGGTATTGTCCATACGCAGCAGAACGCTGCCCCAATCATCGAGTCAATGAATCTCTATGGTGAACGTTCAGCACCTCCATGCATGATGTGTAGAGCCTGAACGTCGGTGCTAAATCTGTGCAGCACTGGAATAGGAAGCACCTCTAGTGGTGTTACTCAAAAGTTATTACTAGGCAGCAATATAAACACTGGCTTTTATCTGAAAAGGTTGTAGTTCGTCTTGTGACTATAGTGTCCCTTTAATGGGACACTATAGTCACCAGAACAACTACTGCTTATTGAATTTGTTCTGGTGAGTAGAATCATTACCTTCAGTGTTTACATTACAGCCTAGTGATAACTTCACTGGCCACTTCTCAGATGGCTGTTAGAGATCCTTCCTGGGTCATGGCTGCCTAAAATGCATCAAAACATTCAGTGTCTCCACCCTCTGCATGCCGACACTGAACTTTCATCATAGAGACTCATTGGTTCAATTCATCTCTATGAGGAGATGCTGATTTGCCAGGGCTGTGTTTGAATTGTGCTCGCTCTGCCTCTGATCTGTCTTTGTCCGTCTTAGCCAATCCTGTGGGGAAGCATTGTAATTGGATCAAGCTACCACTTCTGCTGATGGCAGTGGGCAGGTCTAAAGGAAACAGGCACAAAGCAAGCAGATCCAGACTTGCATACAAGTAAGATTTAGTATATTTAGGGAGGCATGAGGGGGACCAGGATGGCTAGATGGTGGTTTTAACCCTATAAGGTCAGGAATACATGTTTGTGTTCCTGACCCTGTAGTACTCCTTTAAAGGGACACTCCAGGCACCCAGACCACTTCTGCCCATTGGAGTGGTCTGGGTGCCAACTCCCACTACTCTTAACCCTGCAAGTGTAATTATTGCAGTTTTTTAACTCCACCTCTAGTGGCTGTCTACTAGACATTGCCGCGCATGTGCATTAGGTCTCCCCGGCCCGTGGGCGGGATCAGTATCGCTCACTGGCCGACGCAATGCAGAGGAGGAGGAGGAGGAGCGGTGGCGGAGGAGGAAGCAGCGACGAGGGACATTGTCGCTGCCTCAGGTAAGTTACTGAGGAGGTTTTCACACTTTTTTTTTTTTTTTTTTTAAATCTGTTTTTATTGAGTTATATAGAGAGAGAACAGCTTAATTCAATGCAGTCATAAACAGGTGAAGGTCACGCACGACCTGTTTGTACCTACTATAGTGTAGTCAGGTTTACATAAAGTATAACAATCAATTATCTATAGTGATCAGTAATCTTCCTATTTCAAAGCGGTATGAACAAACATAACTCAGCAACTATAAAGTAACTTTTGCAGATCTCTCTCCGTTTCATCTCAGTGTTCATGTATGTATCACAGGGGTCTCATCACGGGCTCTCCATATCTTGCGTGTTGCTTATCGTTAGAAGCATGACTGCCCGTGTGGTCTGTCAGTTGGTGTGTAGTAATGGTGATGGATAAGTGCTATTTCGATTACTCTCAGGTCAGGAAACCTTATACCTCCATGCGATATCTGTGGTATGGTTCAAGGTTTCATCAGTCTGAGCTACCTTGACACACTGTGTGCCATATGGTTGTGTACACCCTTGTCTCGTCTAGTGGTGTATCTATGAGGTGCGGTTGAAGTAATAGCTTTTTGGTGTGTTCTCTCCACCTCGCCCCAATTAGGCTAGACCAGGATGAGAGTGTGTCGCTTTAGTGTGATTGTATTTGATCTGGCTGTGTATGCGTGCAAAGAGAAAAGAATGTGAACTGTAGGTAGGTTAGGAGGGAGAAGAGGAGAAGAGCTCCATCATGTCTCCATTTCCGCGTGATATGCGGCGAGGCACGGTAGCACTCCAGCGTTTTTTGGAGTCAGTAAGTCAAAGCATAGGAAAAGAGTGGGTCTTGCCCCGTGGGACCGACATCTCCCCGCTGGCCCCCCCGTCCCGTTCTACCCTACTAGTCCCGAGACACAAATGCAAACCATGGTTGCCACATCTCTGCATGTTTGTCACCTCTGCCTCCGCCCCTGAATGTCCTCCACCCTGCAGATCAATTCTTCCGCTCTAGGTGTCTCTGACTTTTTCCAATATATAGGTATCAGAGCTTTGGCTGCATTGAGTAAGTGGCGTAGGATCGACATCTTATATCCTGCAATCGACGTCTGTGAGACATGTAGGAGTGCTAGGGCTGCTGTCCATTCAGGGAGTTCTCCCAGGACTTCAGTTATGTTTTGTCTTATCATTTCCCATTGTGGAACAAGTGAGCTGCATTTCCACCAGATGTGTATCATCGTGCCTCTCTCCGCTTGGCACCTCCAACATGTAGGGGGCGTTGACGGGAAGATCTTGTGTAGCAGCGTCGGGGTCCGATACCAGAGTGCAATGATTTTATAGTTTGTTTCTTGGTAAGATGAGCTGATGGTACTTTTGTGTTGCCAAAAGAAAGCACCTTCCCATTGTGAGGGTGTAAAGGTGGTATCCAGCATCGTCTCCCATTGCTTGCGAAAGGTATTATTTTCTGTGAGGTGTCCAACCAGGAGATGTTGGTAAAGCTTGGATATCGCTTTTTCTGTAGAGGAGCCCTTTTCACATTGTGCTTCGAACCATGTTAGGTCTCTATGCAGGTTATCTTTATTGCACATGCTATCGTAAAAGGTCTTCACCTGCATATATCGGAGCACTGCCAGAGGGCTCTGGGGTGTGCCACCTAACAAGGAGTCCAGGGTCCGCATGCTGCCATTCTGTAGTACCCTGGAAATGAGGACATGTTCACGTCCCCCTCCAAAGGGCCACATTGTCAATGTGAGTCCCCCCCTATCGCGCCTTTGTAAGTGACAGACAGCAGTGGACTCGGTGTAGGCAAAATATGTTGTTGTTCCCTCACGAGTCTCCAGCTGGTGAGTGTTTGTGCCATCAATCCATCCCCACCTCCATCGTTATTCGTCTTTGCATGTTTCCCCCACACAGCGGCCTGTAGGTGGGCCCCTTGTCCATCTTGTGCCAAGGCCACCCATTGTTTTTGTTGTGGGTCTGCATGCCATTCCAGGATGCGTTGAAGGACAGTGGCTTGATGGTACCGTTTAAAATCGGGTAGTGCCAGACCTCCTCGATGTCGTGGCAAACATAGTAGTTTAAGTCGGAGCCTTGATCGTTCACCCCTCCAAACGTAGCGATTGACCTCCGATTTTAATGTGGCGAAGAAGGGTGCCGGTATGGCCAGCGGGATCGTCTGGAACAGATATAGGAGTCTGCGTAGAAAGTTAATTTTAAGAACTGCAATCCTTCCATGGCATGAGACATGCGGGTATGCCCATTTGTTCAGGTCTGCCAATAGTGTCTTCAGTAGTGGGGCAAAGTTTTTTTGTGAATGCAAATCGTTCGGGTCCTGTTATCCAGATCCTGAGTTACTTCGTTTTACAGGAGCACCATCGGAAGGGAAACAGAGGTTCCAATGCCGCGTATTCTTCCTCTGGGAGAGTGACGTTGAGCACCTCACATTTGGTCAGGTTAAGTTTAAAACCCGATATCCTCCCGAATTGCTCAGCTACCCCTAGCAGGCAGGGCATTGTGGTTCTGGGGTTGGTGACAAAGAACAAGAGATCATCCGTGTATGCGACCACGTTATGTTCCACTCCCTGCCAGGAGAAACCCCGAACGTCCGGGTGTTGTCTGTACTAGTGGTTCCAGGGACATGGCAAACAGCAGTGGCGACAGGGGGCAGCCCTGTCTCGTGCCGTTGGAGATCTCAAAGTCAGCAGTGAGTGCTCCATTTACCCTCACCGCGGCCCATGGTTTATTATACAGCGCGCGGATCCATGTGAGGAGCCTGAGCCCCATCCCCATCCCCATTTTGCCTAGAGTAGCTAGCCATTTCACCCGGTAGAAGGCCTTTTCGGCGTCTGTGGAGAGTAGGAGGAGTTATTGTCATGTTTTCCTCGCTCTGTGTTGTATCGCAAATAGCTGCATGGTACTATCTCGTGCTTCCCGTCCGGGTATAATCCCCGTTTTGATCCGTGTGTATCAGTGATGGCAAGGCCCTTTGGAGCCTAGTCGCCAGGACTTTGGTGAACAATTTAGTGTCCATGTTCAGCAGAGGTATTGGACGACAGCTGCTACATGCTATTGGGTCTTTCTCTGGCTTTGGCAGAACAGTTATTATGGCTGCCAGAGATTCCTTCCCGAAGGTCCCCCCCCCCCCTTGGCGACTGCATTATTGGCTTTTGTCAACCATTGCAACAGTATTGATGGAAAAAGTTTTGGAGGAGAAGCCATCGGGGCCTGGGGCTTTTCCCGTTTTAGTCGATTTCAGGGCCGCCTAAAGGTCTTCCGTGGTAATCATGGCGCCCAGTTCCTCTGCCACGCCTGGACGTATTGCTTTCGTCACGGCGTCTCTTAAGTATTCCTGAACTCTGGTATATTCGGTGTCCATTTCATCCCGTCTGTCCCGCTCATGTATATTGTAGAGCGATTGGTAGTATTATTTTGTCCGGAAAGGCCATCATGGCGCCTGATGAGAGGCGCAGATTGCGAACCTGTGTGCGAAGGGCATTACCTTTCAGGAGCCGTGCTAGGTATCTGCCCCCTTTATTTGGATGCGCGTAGAAGAACCCTTTTGGAGTGCAAGGTTCGTAGATGGCGTTTTGTGAGGAGGTCTCTCGGCGTTTGGCTTGCATTAGTTCTCCGTACGTCTCCATCAGTTGGGATCTCTTGTGTTGCTGTTCCAATGTCGTGATAGATTTGTAGAGATCCGCCATTTCTCGTGTCGCCACCTTTTACTTTTTGGAAGCTATTCGGATGAGTGTGCCCCTGATTACGCTTTTGTGCGCCTCCCATATAGAGACAGGAGAGGCGTCCGGCGTGTCTTTCCTGAAAATAGTGTTCCAGTTCATCGGTTACCTGCCCGCGAGTCTCTGGGTCGAGAAGGAGGGCCTCATTGAGTCCATGCGGAGGGTCGGAAGAGGGGTGATTCAAGCTCGATGGTGACGGAGCCGTGGTCCGACCACGTCACTGGGTCAAGTTTGGCAGATCGTAGTCGCGTTAATCCTATTTGTCGTATGAAGATATAGTCAATACGGCAGTATTTATTATGCAGCGCAGAGTAGTAAGTGAAGCCCCTAGTAGTGGGATGGAGGGCCCTCCAGCAGTCTATGAGGTCCATGTCTCCTAGGGCTCTCCTCATGGAGCGTATATTGAGTTGAGTAATGCCACTGTGACCCGTCGACGAGTCTATGATGGGGTCTAGTGGTGCGCTGAGGTGCTCTCAGAGAAGCCTTTCAATTTCCCTAATGTAACCCTAAGGAACTGAGCCTGTCTTCTATTGGGTGTGTAGAGCATACCTGCTATCGTCCCTTTCAGGAAGAGGAAACGGCCCTGGTCGTCGTGCAGGCTGTCCAGCAGTTGGAATTCTAGCTCTCCTGCAATTAAAATGGCAACTCCGGGTCGTAGGGTGATCGCAAAAGTGGTTTGTCGGGTAATATTTATTCTGCAGTTTGGGGGCGGCGCCCTTTCGGAAGTTCGTTTCCTGTAGCAGTGCGATTGATAAGTGCCTTTTCCTCATCTCTCGCAGCAGGTGGGTTCTTCGCTCAGGGACGTTTAGCCCTCTGCAATTGAGGGTGAGGACAGACAGGGGAGCGGGGCGACGCGTTCCCGCGGCCCCAGACTTATTGCCGACGTTCATTGCTTGGTCTCCTCCCCCTCCCGACCAGCACCCGTGAGGGACCCTGCCCCCCTGTGCAGACCCGAGAAAGAGGAGTGGAGTGAGGTAAAAAGGCAGGATAGGTAAGGGTGAGTAGGAAAGCAGGGAAGGAAATTAGAGAGAGAAAAGAAAGGGAGACAGTAGGTATCTCAGTTGGTCCACCTCTGGTAGAGAGTTGACTCGTGCTACGGCCGGAAACGCCGCGGGTCTGCCCCGGTGACCAGACCGATAGGCGAGGGCCCACAGGGTTCCACTGTATAGGGGTAAGAGTGTGGTGTGAGGTGCGCGGTTCGGCCCCGACCAAGTGGGTGAAAGTGTGTGTATCGTTCGGAGAGCTCGTGTCCGCTGTGCCCCGTTGTTGCTAACATTCAAGGTTAATGTAAAAGATCCATTTCAAATACTGGCAAACATAAGTAACAGTGTAACAAGTTGAGTGGAATTATGGCATGTCAGGCTAGTAATGCCTGTGTGCCCGTCCCGGCTCTCTTACAGGGAATTGTCAGACAGAGCCTTGTCTCCTGTGGCCCGACCCCCAGTCCCCATCGTTCACCCCTCCCCCTCCCCTCTGGGTCACCCACCAGTTCCCTTCCGCGAAGTTGATCAGTATCCCATACTTGCAGGTCCACTAAGTAGCTTTCCGCTCCTGTTCACCCATCTACCCCCCCCCCCCCCCCCCTCAAATGGGCCACCACTATAGCTCCTGGACTATGGAGAAGGTTAGAAACCGTAACGTAGTCAACCACGTATTCCTAGAAAACCTAAGCGCGTGCAAGGGGTCTTCATCTGAGCAGGTGATACCCCATATATCAGTGGTGTGGTCCTAAGTGCGACTTAGCCCTCTAGAACCCGACCTCCCTGTGTCTCCATCTGTCCCCAAGGTCCGTGATATTCGTGTCCACCATAGGCAGTCACTGGCTTAACATCATCAAAAGGGTGGGTAGTTTTTTTTTGTTTGTTTGTTTGTTTGAGATCCTGATCTACATTTCGGGTCCATAATCCACCCCATCTATTGGTGGTATCCATCTCCCCCCTATACATTTGTAGGCAACAACAATATACAACATGCATGTCAACCGCAAATAAGACCTTGGTAGTATGCTATGCGTATACTTAATATCGGTCGTATGACTTGGGATCCCCCGGGCCGTCATCAAGACCATGTGGGGCGCCCCATACACAGTTCAGGTCCAGATCATACCTCCCATATATGTGTCCCATAACTCGTCCGGGTAGGCGTGCCAGTGGTATCAGGGAGTTCGAACTTTATATGCCCCTACCATCCATATCATGATGTTATCATGTCCCAGGGAAATGTGATGGAAGTCTTGCTCCCCCACCCAAAACCTCCGGGCATCCCGGGATGATCTTCCTCCCCACACGAGCCCTTGCCTCCCAAAAATTTCAATAGGGTATGAACGACCACAGGAGAGAGGGTACTTTAGGTACCATGCGAGTTCCAGGCTTCCACCCCCAAAAAGAGTCACGTATGAACCACCGCCCCCCCAAGAAGCAAAACATTGGGCGTATGGAGTGGGACCCTCAGGTCGTGTGTGGAGGGTGCTGCCCAAGCACCCTGGGCAGGGGTCTGGCCCCCAGCGCGTGACAAAAAGCCCATGTACTGTAACCCGGAGGAGCGAGGTTAAAACCGGGCCTATCCCATCTCTGTCTCGCCATCTTAAACTTCTGGTAACCATGAGGGTATTAATTTGTTCCGTACCTCCCCTCCCAAAGAAGTCACTACTGTAGCTATATACACTGCCGCTGGGGAGTCAGACCAACTGTCTCGACTCCCGGTAACGCTGCCTGGTGCTGGGAGCAACCATTTCCACTCCCAGTGATGATGATTGCTGCAGGGACGAGGGACCGACAATCTCCTCTCCCTGGGATGCTGGCTGCCGCTGGGGAGAGAGACCAATTGACCACAGCCCCAATCTCTGCAATCGGCACTCGCATTCCCATGCCGCTCTATTCTCCGCATCCAACTTGCGCAGAGTTGCCAGAATCGTCTGTCGAAAGAGTCGGGCCATATCTGGTTAACCGCCTTTTGACCTCCTCCCTGTAAGCGTCGCCCTCAAAGCGAAAGGTCATGTTTGCTGTGAACAGGGGAGCTGTACGAATACTAGCGGTGCCCTCAAATTGTAATTCCAAACGTTGCCAGTGCCACTGCGCTGCTTCTCCTCGCACGTCATCCCGCCGCTGCCACCACTGTAACAGAACTGCTGGCACCCCGACCGGGTACCTTCGGCTGACGGATGCTCCTAGTTCTTTCCGAGGACTCCAAGCACTCTGCCCGACACCATAACCACTGCAGACCCCACGAACTGCCGCAGCTTGGTTGGGGTCTCGCCGTCTCCACCCACTCTGGATCCAGCTTCCAGTAGGTCGTCCTCTCACTCAGGCTCCTCCAACAGCCAGGGGCAAAGGGCAGCTTGTCACCTAAAAATCAAGTCTTTAGACCTGCCCACTGACATCAGAAGTAGTAACCTGATCCAATCACAGTGCTTCCCCATAGGATTGGCTGAGACTGACAAAGAGACAGATCAAGGCAGAGCCAGCACAATTCAAACGCAGCCCTGGCCAATCAGCATCTCCTCACAGAGATGAATTGAATCAATGAATCTATATGAGGAAAGTTCAGTGTCTGCATGCAGAGGGAGAAGACACTGAATGTTCGGATACATTTTAGGCAGCCATGACCCAGGAAGGATCTCTAACAGTCATCTGAGGAGTGGCCAGTGAATCACTAGGCTGTAATGTAAACACTGCATTTTCTCTGAAAAGACAGTGTTTACAGCAAAAAGCCTGAAGGTAATGATTCTACTCACCAGAACAAATGAAATAAGCTATAGTTATTGTGGTGACTATAGTGTCCCTTTAAAGGAACCCTATAGGATCAGGGATACAAACATGTATTCCTGACCGTAAAGTGTTAAACACTATTTAGGTGTCCAACCCTTAATTAGTGTAAAACTTACTTTTTATTCTAGTGCCGTGCGGGTCTGCTGGCACTGGCCCCTCCTCTGATCCTCCTCCTTGGCTTAGATGCTCAAAATTGACAATCTTGGCCAATCCAATGCTCTCTGAATGCTGATCTCAGCCAAGGAGGTGGGCCGGAGCCATAAACTTTGGCCCATGCTAGCCTTTGTTTGACATGCTTGCTCTACACCCTCTGTTCCTGTGCGTCCAACTTGTCTTGTTGCACATACTTGTCTGTTAGTCCACCTATTGTACAGATCTGCTGAATTTGTTGGCACTTTATAAATAAAAATATTAAAGGAACACTATAGTCACCTAAATTACTTAAGCTAAATAAAGCAGTTTTAGTGTATAGATCATTCCCCTGCAATTTCACTGCTGAATTCACTGTCATTTAAGAGTTAAATCACTTGTTTCTGTTCAGCCCTAGCCACACCTCCCCTGGCTATGATTGACAGAGCATGCATGAAAAAAAAAATCTGGTTTGACTTTCAAACAGATGTAATTTACCTTAAATAATTGTATCTCGATCTCTAAATTGAACTTTAATCACATACAGGAGGCTCTTGCAGGGTCTAGCAAGCTATTAACATAGCAGGGGATAAGAAAATCTTAATTAAACAGAACTTGCAATAAAGAAAGCCTAAATATGGCTCTCTTTACAGGAAGTATTTATGGAAGGCTGTGCAAGTCACGTGCAGGGAGGTGTGACTAGGGTTCATAAACAAAGGGATTTAATTCCTAAATGGCAGAGGATTGAGCAGTGAGGCTGCAGGGGCATGTTATATACACCAAAACTGCTTCATTAAGCTAAAGTTCAGATGACTATAGTGTCCCTTTAAATAAGAGCTGCTAGCTAACATATGAGGCTCCATGAATTATCTTAGTCATCTGTAATTTCAAAGATTCTTCCTTGTCTTTCCACATGGAATGCTGTAATCTAGAGACAGATTTTGATTGGCTTCAAACGTTACGTGTGTCCTGTGGATTTTATAATTCACATATTAAAACTGACCATATTTTATGGAAATTGTGGATTTGAATTAGAAACGTGCCAAAAATATTATTTAAAGAAAGAAAAGAAAAAATTCTAGCCCATTTGTTGCTGAATTGTGCATTTTTGTGGAATTTCTGATAACTGTGCTAGCTAGGAGTTATTTGTTCAAAGAGCATTTTCTGGTTTTGCACAAGTTCTTTTGTACAGATCCTAAGGTGTGACAACATCTTTCTAATGAAAAGACATACCTTGTGTGGAAAATGAGTTAATAGATGAGTTATGAGGATGTGTATGGAGAATTTTTGTTAACTGAGCATTACGGAATAAATTAATTAAAACATCCACAATGTTCCCTGTTAGAAAGGGAAATGGTTTGAAAATGTCCTCTATGTATTATGGACATTTAAAATTGCATTCCATTAACTGAGTGTGCATGTAAAAGAACAGTTTAGGCACCATAACCACTACATTGGGAAACTATTTTACATGCAATGTGACAAAAGACATTTGGAATACATGCTTTAACTTTTAATGTAAATATTTGTGATAGTTTGTTCCCCTTAACGACGAATGCAATGTCCAACATCTGAACCAAAACAAAACCTTAGATTTATTATCTTTATGTGCTGCTTCACACCCACTCCCCTTTTTATATCCCACATATACCTAACACATATCAATAAAATGTTCATTAATTTTTTAAAATTTGTTTTTCACCCCTTTTTATTTTTTCATATTTGTACTTATAATTTTTACACATCAATTTGCCACGAAAGAAAGATCTTAAAATAGATGCACATATTACTCATGACTTTTAAATGATTTGCCTTTGATCTAAATAATTTTTTGTTAATGTTAACCCAATACCAGCCCTACCCCTAACCATATGCTTTACATTAGCTGTAACCTTATTACTACTCTAATCTTAAAGAGACACTATAGTCACAAAAACAAGGATTCTCCTACTCTCCCTTTATTAATGATCTCTGAGAAATTTTAACAACTAGAATGACGCAATTATGACCAATGTATTTTTTCACTGTAAATATATACACTCTTTTTATTAACCTTTTTTTCGAAGACTCCTGGATAATTTTATGATCAGAATTTTGTAATTTGCAATTCTAATTTAACTAGTGGTTTGCATCTTACATTAAGAGGCTGGGTATCTTGTATAATCGTAACATTTATGTCAACACATAGCATAGATATATTTATATTTATATTTATACCTATAGCTTCTGAATTAGGAGGGAATGCAAGAGCATAATAAAATGAAATGGATTTATAAGATGCAATCCACACCCTACAGCGTGAGGATGTCCAGCGATGGTCTAGCACAGGTTTTCTGTGCTATGGACAAGTATGTGCCCTCTAGTGGCTGTCTAGTAGACAGCCACTAGAGGTGGAGTTAACCCTGCAAGGTAACTATTGCAGTTTTTAGGAAAAAAAACTGCAATAATTACCCTTGCAGGGTTAAGGGTAGTGGGAGTTGGCACCCAGACCACTCCAATGGGAGTTGGCACCCAGACCACTCTAGTGGTCTGGGTTCTTGGAGTGTCCCTTTAAGGTTAACCCTGACGAAGGTGCCATTAGCAGCACCGAAACGCGCGCTGGGCATTTTGTCTTCTCACATTTTTAGCACTATGCACTCTATATCACTTTAGTTTTCTAGTTTGAGGGTTTTGATGTTTTAGTCTTGGTAGGATTTGGAGGGAAGGACGAGTTGTTAATATGGGTCAGCATTCTAGCTTAGAACACCCCTGAAGGTGTTGTTTAGGAGCTGTAGCCCTATTTGGAATTGCAAGTTGGTTAGGTAGCAGGATGTCTACATAAACTTTAACATTGAACACCCATGAAGGTGTTTTCCTAGGAGCTGCATACCATTGTGATATTTGATAGTGAAACTGTTGTGGCTTATACCATTTTAGCTTTCACACCCAAGTAGCTATATCCTAGGAGCTGCTCTGACTTACCTACAAGTAACAAAGAGATTTATATCTATTTGCACAGTAGTTGTGGACGCAAACAATCTGCTCCCTTCGGAGATTTCACTTTACATCATCTCCAGACTTATTCTACCTCTTAATCTAACTGTCCGCCACCTCCACTTTGTGCAGCTTTTATTTTTTTTTTTTCTCAGTGGATACTACCCAGCGCACTGTTTAGCAAATAGTCCCCCCCGTGACAATTTTTTTACTTGTTTAGGCAGAAATATCTAGATGCATTTAAGAGTATCCAGAAGATGCACTGTGCATGATAAGTCAAGGGTAAATTATCCACATATGTTTAGAGGTAATTGCTCACCACTCCCCAGCTGGGAATCTTATAACAATTGTATAGTTTTTTTTATCATTTTTATGCACAGCAATAAATAATTTTTTTCGTTTGGATACATTGTGTTTAATAAGTTACCTGGAGGATTTATGGTGGTTTATCCTACCAAGTTGTTGTAGATATATTGGTTAGCTCTGTTTATTAGGTATTGGCTATTTATCTACCAGTTTGGTATCCCTCACTCTTGCTGAGTCTGGGATCCCCTTCTCTCTTTTTTTTATATATTGAATACTTTAAAGTGGCACTGTCATACTGAACTTACCTTTTACCAATCTTTTCTTCTTCTTTCAGAATCTGTTCTTCTTTTCTTCATTTCTGATCCAGTTGTTTTTTGTTTTTTTTTAAACATAATAAAAAGTAGGGACTACTTTGTTTTATGTATTTTTTTTTTTTATAGGCTTGGCTTTCCTTGACACAAGAAGGAGCTTAAGACAGCTCAAATTCCTGTTTCAAAGAAAGTTTTCCCACAATGCTTGCCCTTCCTTCATGCTCTCGCATTGCATCCTTTCAGATTTTCGAAGTACTGTCATGTGGACTAGGGTGTCGCAGAAATGACCAAATGTCGTCCGAACAGGATGTCGACAATTTTCCATTTGTATTCAGATGAAATTCGGACATTATTTTGTTTGGAATTTCGTAATGAAAACCAAAGAGAAAAGTTACGTGTGCACTTTTCCAAATCCCTGTGCACATTTATATAAATGTAGGGTTTTTAGTTCCACTCCAGTGACCATTAGATGTAAGCCTACCTGCCATGTGTTCCCTGTTAAGGGTATGTAGGGGTTTAAAAAAAAAAACCCTTTCTGTCTCATTAGAGGTTTTTTTGTTTTGTTTTTTGTCTGAGGCTGGAGCAAGCGAGGTGAATTGTTAGTGTATGGTTTGCCTTGATGTGGCAGGTAGGCTTACATCTAATGGCCATTGGAGTGGAACTAAAAACCTCCATTCATATAAATATGCGCAGGGATTTGTAATAGTGCGCATGTAACTTTTTTCTCTCTGTTTTTACTTTGCATAAACTAATAACCACAGTAGTATATCAAAAAAGTAGGACATAATTTAGGGTGTAATTAAAAGGTGGGTAATTTTTGATTGCACTCACAGTTTAAGATTCAGAACCGGTTCCACCTTTAACATGAAAGTAGTAATTTATGTGTTGCACAGTGCTTTAAATTGTGCAGTATATAGGTGTTGTGTTATGTAAAAAAGCATAAAACATATCGTATCTGATTGTGATGACACAGCAGGTTTTAACCAGAATTAAAAGAAAAAGACAATTGTAATCCTTATAAAGAGAAAGCATTCAGTGCTTTATCTTGCCCTCTTTTGTTTCTTGAAAAAAGGAATACAGAACCATGACGAGTCTTTGACCCATTAAAAAAATAAAAAAATAAAAATCAATAAATAATGGTAACAGACTGGGCACAACAGAGCAATGTGTTTTTGTTTGCTTTTCTTTTGAGGTTTATTTTCCTTTTCTATAGATTGTCATTTTGGCTCACTATAAACCTCTCTCAAGACCTCAAATTTAATTCTTTGTGTGCTGAAATTTTACTTTTTTGAATTACAATATAACTCCCAAAAAAGGATTCTACAATTGTGCTTGGCTGCCCATATATTGTACAGCATTTATGGGTTAAGTTGCCACATGCATAATGTTAGAATTCAGATTCAAATAGCTTTGGACTGTAGACTAAAGACAGAACCTCAGCATGAGGCCCAAATCTGGATGACAGCCGACAACAGGCGGTTACTGTGCCTGCAGCGACGAGACTCACCCTGATACAAGCCCGAGGGACGAACTCCCTCCTCACCACTGCGGCCTTAAGTGACTACCTGGATGTCTTCATCCACACCAGACATGCGGGACTCTGCATGGCAAAGAAGCGAGGCCAGCAACTAACGGCTCCCAGGGTAGATGCGGACCTGTCAAGCCGGGACAGTGCCACATGCTCCTGAGCGAGGTACTCGTGCCCCCCTCAGGACTTACCGATATACCCTAGCTGTTGATACCCAGGTGGTCAATTATGTCAATGTTAAGCTACAGTTAAAGTTCTGCCAACCGTAAGGGACTGGGGCCATACGAAACAGAGGTTTCCTTACCATGTTCTATGTTAGCAATCGGAGATAGCCTTAACACGTCTTGGGGTCTCCGGCGCCGGTGTGTGCTTACTCCGTTTGTGGGGCTGTACTTCACCAGGTAACGGCCAGCTTGGGGGCTGCTCCGGCTCTGTGCTTTCCCCTGTCTATGTTGGGGGCGATCTGGCAAGGGAGTTCCCAACCCCTGTCTCTGGGGCTTGCTGCGCCACCGCTCGCCGGGAGGCCATCTTCCTCCAAATGGCTGGAGTGGTTTGCACCTTGGGCGGGGGGGGGGGATACATCAGTTTGTAGAGTTTAGTCCAGAAATCCGCAAAGATCCGGTGTATGCGATCCAGGTCCAGCATATGGGATGTCGGGGATTCGTCGCAAGTGAGTTTGGCATCCGCCATTTTGTGCCAGTGTCTAGGGTGGTTGCTCCGTCTGGTGCACCTTTGTCTCCGATGTCAGAGGTGAGTGCCCTGCTTGTGCCGGGATATCCCTCACTGGCGGGGGGGGGAAACAGGTGGTAGGTGTCAGTTGCAGGCTCTGGGTTGTGCGGACGTGGGGTCGAGAGAATGGCCGCTTCCCCCGCATCCACGCTGCTGCTTAGGCCGTTACGCCTTCCAGCCACCCCACCCGAGGCTTTAGTGATCCTGGTTGCTTGCTCTATGCTCCCGCGGGTGCCCTCAGGCAAGTGGTAAGTAGCAAACCGTGTCAGCTCCGTTATTTTCCCATTTTAATGGTTTAAAGTCCGTTATCATGCAGGAGCTCCGGGTCAGGCTCCGGTACATTTTGTTACTCAGTGCAGCATCACCCTCAGCCACAACCTAACCTGTATTTCACTACTGCAACACATTTCAGTTTGTTACTATTGTAACCGGCAGATACAAGCAGCCTAGACATGTTCTAAGTGTTCATCAGTATACCTACCACAAAGGCCGATGTACTCAGCGTTAAGCATTGATTATCTTGTTTTGTTTTATTTTACTCTAGCTAATCGTATTTTGACAACATAACAGTTTAGGCAAGCATGATATAGAAAGTGAGAGCTGTCTTCCCTATTAATCGTATTTCTAAGCCTCAGCAAACCTAACCTTGTTACATACACGTTCAGCCTAGCATAAACATATCTTCAATCTGCTCTGATACTCGAATGCTTAAGCCTGATTAAAACATAAAATTGTGCATGTTAATCTTGTGCACCGCATGTTACGCGTGGGAAAAGCTATAGGACTGCCTTTGGGGCACCTCTCGCCTGTTTGTGTTAAATCTCTGCACTGCAAAAATAAAAAATAAAATTCAGACGAAAAAGAAAAAAACCTGACGCTAAAAAAAATGATCCATCTTCACCCGTGGAGGGCTATGCGCAGACTGAGCTCTGCAGGGCGGGGGAAGGCTTATAAAGCCTTGCCCCGCCCTGCAATTAGGCTAAGAACACTCTGGTTGGTTTAAGCACCTTAAAGCGGTACTCTGTCATTTTACACAGCATGGGAAAGTTCTTGGAGAAGGACAGTAGGTTCCCCCCATTGTTATGTCGGGCTCCCACCCACCGCTCAGGGGTGGGGTACGGGGGGGGAGGACAATAGGTGTCCCCCCCCTTATTTTACTTTAGCCACTGGCTGCTCACTGTTTACTAGACATGCCCCTACTCGCAGTATAGCGATTAGGGGCAGATTTTACTAATACTAAGTATCTTTTGGTAGATAACTCCCTAATTCCCACGATATTAGGGAGCTATCTACTAAGCGGCTGCAAGATGCAGCCACAGCACGAATAGAATTGGAGTTTCATTAAGTCGAATGCAATTGCAATCCGAACAAAGTCCCGAATTGCGTTCTAACACGAAAGGAGAAACTGTTCTAATTCTGTTAGGACGCAATTCGGCAGTTTTGCCAGCGTTCTGTGACAGGACGTTCGGCAATACTGACAGGAGGCATCGTGGGAACAGGGAGGAAAGCTAAGGATTATGGGAAAATTGCTCTGACCACCGGAAACGAAGCACACTTTGCTCCTCCGCTGGTCATGGCGTTGAAAACCTCCAGAAGAGAAATAGTCCCTACTTTGTCTTAACGGACCACTCTAGTGGTCTGGGTGCCAGGTCCAGCTAGGATTAACCCATTCTTTTATAAACATAGCAGTTTCAGAGAAACTGCTTTGTTTATGAATGGGTTAAGCCTTCCCCCAATTCCTCTAGTGGCTGTCTCATTGACAGCCGCTAGAGGCGCTTGTGTGCTTCTCACTGTGAAAATCAGTGAGAGCATGCAAGCGTCCATAGGAAAGCATTGTAAATGCTTTCCTATGTGACCGGCTGAATGCACGCGTGCGAATTCAGCCGCATGGGAGGAGAAGTGGAGGATCGGAGGAGGAGAGCTCTCCGCCCAGTGCTGGAAAAAGGTAAGTTTTAACCCCTTTCCTCTCCCCAGAGCCGGGCGGGAGGGGGACCCTGAGGGTGGGGGCACCCTCAGGGCACTATAGTGTCAGGAAAACGAGTATGTTTTCCTGGCACTATAGTGGTCCTTTAATTTTTAAAGAAAACTAGAGCAGACAGGAAGAAATGAAGAACAGATCCTGAGATAGGGAGAGAAGAGGAATCGATTGGGGAAAGGTAAGTTCGGCATGACAGTTCCGCTTAAAGGCATCCAAGTAGTTCTATACAAAATACTTCTAAGTTTGTAGCTCATGCAGGAATATCAAGCTTTGGATTCTAGGTTTGGCCAAGCCTTGCTTTAAAAAACTTTTTTTTTTTTTTTTAAATCCCGTAATAGTGATCCAGAGCCATCTAATACAGGTTAAAGAAATGCTCCAAACACCTGAAACACTTTAACCCCTTAAGGACACATGACATGTCATGATTCCCTTTTATTCCAGAACTTTGGTCCTTAAGGGGTTAAGCAGAAATCGGCACAGAAGAGAAAGTCTGTAAAAATAGTACATAGTACTTTTTTCAGTGGAATGCCAGTTATGGGGATTGGAGAGTTTGCTCCTTTTTGTGTGTGTTTTAGAATTTGATAACGACTAAACTTCGCAAAGAATTCTATAAAGAAATTGTGCATCTTCTCTACATATAAAAAAAACAAAAACACACAAACTTACTTGCAATGCTAGGTCCAGGCCAAGTTCTCCTTGCAGCCCAATCCTCCTTTGGTGATGTCATAACCTTTCACTATAGAGGTGGGGGAAGCTGAGGGGAGAACCTTGGCAGCATAGAGAAGGTTACTGCCACCACTGGTTGTCTATTGCCAGCATGGTATGCATATTCATGAGACTCCCAATTTGCGTATATTTAACATTAACCATCCTGGACCTCTGGTTCTAGGCAGGCAAATGACACCGTATGAGGTGGAATTACACCAATAGCAGCAACCTCCTATATTTCTGTATGTGCAGTGTTTAAAACTGAATTGCTACACATACATACTTCACGCACACTGACCACTTCAAAACATTGAAGTGTTTATGGTGCTTAGAATAACCCTTCAAGAAGTGATTGTTAGAAATTATTATCCTGTAGTAGAATGTAAAAGTAAACCAAATAAAGAGCGTCCAGCAATAATATCAATTCATGGAATTCGTTTTAGACTACTGTTTTATGTGTGCCTATAGTGCGATGTTCATTCAATAATTAGACATTGATTGCATGGTAATGTGAAAAATGGTGAGCTTTCTTAACATGCTTCAGCAACCTTAGTTGAAAATTCAGCAGTTTCAGCTAATATTTAAACTCGCATGGCTTGTTATTACTCCTCTGAGTTGCTTCATAGTGTGAGACTCCGACTTATGTAAGTTAAATAACTTTTAATAGCTTACCGTTCACAGATAATACATATAGAACTGCAAATAGATTTAAAGGTAAAGGTCAAGAGAGCCATAATATGTGTGTGGTATTTTTGTTGTGGTTTGTTTTTTCTTTCAAGGGATGGGAGGTGGAAAATGTATACATTATTTTAGAGATATTTAAGTTCAAAAAGCAAATGTGCAAATAAATGCATAATTCATGGTGAAATGTTAAATCCACACTGTAGGCACTATAATATCACTTGTGAATATGCAGTGGAAGTAAAGATTATATTTTAGGGACTAGACATGGACGATAGAATGCCTGAAAAACTTTGGACAGAAGTTTGCATTATTATCCAGGAAACCGCAAGAACAAATATCCCCAAAAGAAAGAAATCGAAGAAGGCAAACTGACTATCTGATGAGACTTTAAAAATAGCCCAGGAAAGCGGAAGGTAGTGGAGATCGGAAACAATTTGTGCAACTGAATATAGAATTCCGAAGGAAAGCAAAAACAGACAGACATTCTACAATAAGCAATGTAAAGAGATAGAAGAAGATAATAGAATGGGAAAGTCAAGAGATCTATTCAAGAAAATTGGCGATCTAAAAGTTACCTTTCATGCCAAAGTGGATGTGATAAAAGACGAAAATGGCAGGGGCTAAGATCAGATAAAGAAGAGATGTCAGGAAGGATCTTAACATCAGTGATGACCTCAATAGTTGGTCCAATGAGATGGAACCAGATGACTTGGAGAGCGAAGGGTGCCTTGCCGATAACAAGGCTGCAGTAGTTGATGAAATCCCAATTGAACTATTCAAAATTCTGCAAGATGATGCTGTGAAATTTCTGCTTGCCTTATGCCAACAAATTTGGAAAACTCCACAGTGGCCAAAAGACTACCGTGTTTCTCCGAAAATAAGACCGGGTCTTATATTAATTTTAGTCACAAAAAACTCACTAGGGCTTATTTTCAGGGTAGGGCTTATTTATTTACGGTACCGGTATGTACATTGAACCCCCCCTTTAATTAATCCACCCCCCCCCTTTAATAAATCCACCCCCCTCTAATTAATCCACCCCCTCTAATTAATCCAGCCCACCCTTTAATTAATTCACCCCCTCTAATTAATCCAGCCCACCCTTTAATTAATTCACCACCCCCTTTAATAAATTCACCCCCCTCTAATTAATCCAGTCCACCCTTTAATTAATTCACCCCCCTCTAATTAATCCAGCCCACCCTTTAATTAATTCACCACCCCTTTAATTAATTCACCCCCTCTAATTAATCCAGCCCACCCTCTAATTAATCCAGCCCACCCTTTAATTAATTCACCACCACTTTAATTAATTCACCCCCTCTAATTAATCCAGTCCCCTTTAATTAATTCACCCCCCTTTAATTAATTCACCCCCCTCTAGTTAATCCAGCCCACCCTTTAATTAATTCACCCCCCTCTAATTAATCCAGCCCACCCTTTAATTAATTCACCCCCCTCTAATTAATCCAGCCCACCCTTTAATTAATTCACCACCCCCACCCCCTTTAATTAATTCAATTAATCCCAGACATAAAATATCTAGCGGTACTCACATTTCAAAGATTCCTTGCTGAGTCCGACCACTGGGAGCCTCACCGCCCGGAAATGGATCCTTCCGCTGAAGATCCGTGAAGGCAGACTGACGGCGCTGCAAAATGTCGTCATCACGTTGCGCGACGCTCCTCCTACAGCAGAAGAAGGAAGTCTGGCCGCAAAGGTACAATGCCTAGGTCTTATTTTCGGGGTAGGGCTTATATTGCAGCCCACCCCGAAAATCCGACTAGGGCTTATTTTCGGGGTAGGGTTTATTTTCGGGGAAACACGGTAGAATAGGTCAGTCTACATCCCAATCGCCAAAAAAATACCTTCCTGCCCCTGTAGGTCTAGCACTGCTCCAAAACCAGGGGAGAGTTTAAAGATCTCTCTCACCTGCCAAGTCATCCTGATGCAAATGGAGAGAAAGTAGTCCTTGATGGTAAAAAGACAATAGTGTCCCTTGTAAATAAAAATGTTTCCATTTTTTTTATTTAAACCTCTTAAGGACGGAGGGCGTACTATTACGCCCTGCAGGAGCCGGCTCTAAACGCCGGTGGGCGTAATAGTACGCCCTCACTTTAATGGCCGCCCATGTGGCCGGCGCTAGTCGCCCACTGCAGATCGCGGTCAGGGGGGATGCCCGGCCCCCCAGGCAACCCCCCCTGTGACCGATCCGCGCAGTCAGATGCGCAGTGACAGGCTGTCACTGCGATCAGTTTTTAACGTGTGTCAGCCGATTTCAAATCTGCTGACACACGTGGCCAGCGGCTACCCCGTGCAGATCGCGGTCGGGGTACTTACCTGGCCCCCCAGGCAGTCCCCCTGGGGTCAGTGGCCGCGATCTGCTAACTCTGAGATCGCAGTGACAGGCTGTCACTGCGATCTCAGAGCGCTCTGATCACAGTGACAGCCTGTCACTGCGATCAGTGTTACATGTGTCAGCCTGTTGGCTGACACATGTAACTGGCACACAGATCCCCCTGCAGATTGGAAGGGGGGAGTGCTTGTACCACCCAGGCACTCCCCCCTGTGGCCAATTACCCAATCTGCAGGAGGTGATCACAGTGACAGGCAGTCACTGTGATCACTGATCCTGTGTATCAGCCAGTGATGTAAAATCACTGGCTGACACTGTCTCTGCCCCCTCTCCTGTAAAAAAAAAAAAAATATTAGTTAAAAAAAAAAATTACAGTTACATATAAAATATACTTAGATCATATATATTATATATATATATATATGATCTAAATATATATATATACACACACACACACACACACACACACACACACATTTACACATACACGAAGTGTATTTAAATAATATATATAATTATTTATATATATATTACTATCAAATTACACGTAGACTAATACTGATTAAATATATACATATATAATTATTGTTATATATATATATATATTTATATATAATATAAAAATGTAAATACGTAAAAAAAAAATTTAAAAAAATAATTAAAAATAAATAATAAAAAAATATATAGTTGTTTGTTATTTCGTTCTAACTGTATTGTGATATTAATATATATATATTTATATCAAAATACACGTAGAACGAAATAATATATATATCTATATACATAAATATATACATATATATCACTAAATATATACACCTATATATAAATAAAAATATTTTAAAAAATTATATATATATATATATATGTATATATACACATATGTGTATATATATACATATATTAATTCTACACATATATTTATGTAATATTTTTACATAATTAGGTATCCTAATTAATTACAATTAGCGGGACCTGCCTGACAACCCATGCCGAAAGTATAGGGAATTTAATTTGCTAGCACTATATTTAACCCTATAACTTTTCAAGACACCATAAAACCTGTAAATTGGGGGTACTGTTTTACTCGGGAGACTTCGCTGAACACAAATATTAGTGTTTCAAAACAGTAAAATGTATTACAATGATGATATCGCCAGTAAAAGTGAAGTTTTTTTGCATTTTTCACACACAAACAGCACTTACACGGACGATATTATTGCTGCGATACTTTTTACTGTTTTGAAACACAAATATTTGTATTCAGCGAAGTCTCCCGAGTACAACAGTACCCCTTATGTACAGGTTTTATGGTGTTTTCAAAAGTTACAGTGTCAAATATAAGGCTTGTGTTTCATTTTTTTCACATTAAAATTCGCCAGATTGGTTACGTTGCCTTTGAGACCCTATGGTAGCCCAAGAATGAAAATTACCCGTATGATGGCATACCATTTGCAATAGTAGACAACCCAAGGTATTGCAAACAGGGTATGTCCAGTCTTTTTTAGTAGCCACTTAGTCACAAACACTGGCCAAAATTGGCGTTTTTTTGCATTTTTCACACAAACAGATACTAACGCTAACTTTGGCCAGTGTTTGTGACCAAATGGCTACTAAAAAAGACTGGACATACCCCATTTGCAATACCTTGGGTTGTCTACCATTGCAAATGGTATGCCATTATGGGTGTTAATTTCATTCCTGGGCTACTATAAAGTCCCAAAGGCAACGTAACCAATCTGGCGAATTTCAATTTCAAATGTAACGTGCTATATTTGACCCTGTAACTTCCCAAAACGCCATAAACCTGTACATAGGGGGTACTGTCTTACACGTGAGACTTTACTGAATACAAATATGTGTATTTTATTGCAGTAAAAGCAAACAGTATTATGACACTGACCGTTAAAATGTCATGTAGAACTAAAAAAATCAAAAAAATCTTATTTTCTCCCATTTTTTTCATATTAAATTATGTTTCATAGCTAAATATTTGATATTAAATGAAAGCCCTGTTTCCCCTGAATAAAATGATATATAATAAGGGTGGGTGCATTTACTATGAAAGAGGTGTATTACGGTTGGACAGACATGTAGCGCAAATGCCAGGTTTTGTTTACATTTTGTTTCGTTCACAACGTGTACATTTGGCTCCGTCCTTAAGGGGTTAAATATACATTAATTGTGCCCCATCAGTCTTGATGTCATCCCCACAAGTAGCCTCCCTCCAAATGTATGCAAAAATTACAGGGCACACACCGCGCCTTGTCCTCTGATCAGCTTTTGGGGACACCAGAGACAGGGCACCAGCAAATGGAGAACAAGTGTCATTAATTTTTTTCACTGTGGTCTGTACATGAATTGCCCTGGAGAGGCATCAAACTGACATGCCCACTTTGGAAACTGTTGGTGTAATTGGTGAAGACACAACAAGCCCCTATCTAGACCTGTCCCCACCCACCTCCTAATATATTGGTGATCATGACAACTGTGTATCCTTTACATGCCACGGCAGAACCTATGCAGTAGTTCTGCAGGTCTCACTAAAACAGAAAAATTCATTCATGTAATTGTAATTGTTACTGAAGCGCTTCACTATATTTAACTTTTTATTGGTGTGAAAGGAAACACGCTTAATCAATTAAATTTTAGATACACATTTAAAAATACATATACTTATATTTTTTGGGAGGGAGGGGGTGTGTGGAGGTAGTCTGTAGAAGGTACAGGGAGGGGGACGGTGCAGGGAAGAGAGGGGATCTGTACATGGGTGGGAGGGGGAGACGGGATCTGTGCATGAGACAGAATCTATGCAGGGGTGGGAGGGGTAGTGGGGATTTGTGCAGGGGACGAAGGGAGGGGTTCACAGGGGAGATCTGTGTGTCTTTTTCTCCTTCTCAAACCCCACTGTTTCTTTCACATCCAGCCCCTCTCCCGTCCCTTGGCCTCCTTGCTTCCCTGTCTCTTAGTGTTCCTCTCCCCTCCCCCCTCCTTTCCCACCCTACTTAGTGTTTCTCTCCCCTTTCTGGTGTGCCTCCTACCTCTCTTGTAGCATGGCCGAGTGGAGCGGATCCCGTACAGGAGCTTCAGTTTTCTGTACCCGGCCGGGCTGAAAGGAAGTGCTCTCTTAGTGAGCACCTCCTGTCAGTCCGGCCAGGTACAGGAAACAGAAACTCCTGTACAGCGCTCCGCCACACAAAACATTTAGTGGTGTAGACACACGGAGAAACACGCTCAATGACAAAAGCACAGATGTCATTGACGGACACAGACTCACTGATTTGACACACACACACACACATTCCCCTACAGACACACACTGACAGTCTCACACACACAGTGACAAACACACAGATGTCATTGACACACAGACTCATTGATCTGACACAGACTCATTGATCTGACACAGACTCATTGATCTGACACAGACTCATTGATCTGACACAGACTCATTGATCTGACACAGACTCATTGATCTGACACAGACTCATTGATCTGACACAGACTCATTGATCTGACACAGACTCATTGATCTGACACAGACTCATTGATCTGACACAGACTCATTGATCTGACACAGACTCATTGATCTGACACACACTTCATGACAAACATACTCTCACTGATTTGACAGACACTCACACACACACACACGCACTCATGCACGCACAGGCTCATGCACTCACACTCCTTAATTATTATTTTTATAATTAAAAATGTTCCACCCGTCCTTTCTACCTGGAGAGCGGGCGTGGATATGTTCCTGGGGTCCAGCGGGGCTGCTGGGTGGCGTGCGGCTGTAGTAGAATCCGAGGTGGCGAGGGAACTGTGATCTCCCTGCTCTTGCTCCCTTGTGCCTGCCTATTGATGCCGGGAGACGGAATATGACGTCATATTCCTCGCCCGTGGCATCAGCAAACGGCACACGAGGGAAGCAGAGCAGGGAGATCAGAGCTACCTCGCCGCCTCTGATTCTACCACAGCCGCACCTGGGTCGGTCCATAACATGGCCTGGTAGGAGTGAGCGCTTTCCTTCTGCTGGTCACTAGAATCTTGCGCCCCCAGAGCCGGTGCGGCCGCCTGTGCCGCCATAGGGACGCTCTGGCCCTGACTGCCCCCCTGCCTTCCCCTTGCTACGCCTCAGCATGAGCCAAATTCCGGAGGAATGTTTCCTGAACCTTGTTTAATCCATATAGTTAATAATTTAGACTGTACTAGAAGCAAAATGGGTTAAGGTAATAGAAAGGTGTATTTAATAACCTGGCTACTTAGTTTCCAGTGGGGTTTTTTTTTTTTTGTTTTAAGTCTTTATTTTACCAAAATAGAATAGCAAACTGACACGTTATTTATATATATTTTTTTTTTTTTTTTTTTTTAAATGGACAGTTTTTTTTTAACAAACCAGTCTTAGTATGTCTGGAAAATATAGTTGGCATTGTCTGCTTTTCATCATGTCACTCTCGCCCTTATTTTGTCTTATAATCCTGCTTGTTTCTGTTTTGTTGTGTTCTTCACGAGTATCATCTATATTGAACTACGATTAGTTAATTATACCAGTAGATAGATCAGAATGCTTTGTTAGAGTTATTCCATGCACCATGTCTGATCTTTGCAATGGTTATAGTGTAAGAAATGTGTATAGCCTTTATACTTGGAACATAATAGTCATACAGAGATAGTTAACATTTTCTGACGAGGTGTATCTCAAGGTATGATTCCCTCAGTGCCAGCCCTGCACAATATAAAAAGGTGTACTGTTGCACGCAGCTTGTTCCTGGAAAGACAAGACATTAATCCGATCATACACATTTTGGGTACATCTACATTCTGAGTCGTGTTGGAACAAGTTTTCTGTTGGCTATGTCAATTTTGTGCAAAGATTTTATTAGTCATCAGTCATTAGTCATCCCATGCGCCCTCCCTCACAATCATTACAAACAAACAGTGTTGTCTTCTAAAGTGTCATAGAAACAGGTTAACAACCACATCTGGTCAGGTACAGAACCTAGAGTAGAGATGGGAGAGAGAAGAAAGCAGGTTGAAGATTGGTTAGTGTACCTTGGGACCCTCTGCGCTGGGGAACTCTCTTCACTCTTCTGAAGTCTGCTCAGAACGCACATTCAATCAGTCCATAGGAAAGAGTTTTTCAATGCTTTCCTATGGACATCCAGCGTCTTCTCACTGTGATTTTCACAATGAGAAGAGCGGAAGTGACTCTAGCGGCTGTCAATGGGACAGCCACTAGAGGCTGGATTAAAGGACCACAATAGGCACCCAGACCACTTCAGCTTAATTAAGTGGTCTGGATGCCAGGTCCCTCTAGGATTAACCCTTTCTGCTGTAAACCTAGCGGTTTCAGAGAAACTGCTATGTTTACTATAGGGTTAATCCAGCCTTTAGTGGCTGTCTCATTGACAGCCGCTAGAGGCGCTTCCACGCTTCTCACCGTGATTTTCACAGTGAGAAGACGCCAGCGTCCATAGAAAAGCATTGAGAATGCTTTCATATGAGACTGGCTGAATGTGCGTGCGGCTCTTGCTGTGCATCCGCATTCAGCCGATGACAACAAAGGAGGAGGAGAGTCTCCAGCACCGAGGGAGCCCGGCGCTGGAGAAAGGTGTGTGTGTGTGTTTAACCCCCTTCCTCTCCATCCAGCTTGGCGGGAGTGGGATCCTGAGGGTGGGGGAACCCTCAGGGCACTATAGTGCCAGGAAATAGTGTTTTCCTGGCACTATAGTGGTCCTTTAACCCTAGTGTAAACATAGCAGTTTCTATGCTGCAGGGTTATCACTAGATGGACCTGGCACCCAGACCACTTCATTGAGCTGAAGTGGTCTGGGTGCCTATAGTGGTCCTTTAAGAAAAACTAAGTGCATATTTACAGTAAAAAAGTACATTTGGCATCTTGTAATTTACTTTTTTAAATTGCATGTATAAATCTGCATTTACAAGAACCAGAGTCTTGTTTGCAATTTTTCTTACTTACTATTTGTGATGTAACAAATGTACATAGATTTGAAATATGCCAGTTTCAGTCGTATCCGCTTGACTGGAGCAGAACATGTCAGCTTTAGTACATTATTGCATAAAATAGATTAATTGTTTTTGCCAGAATGTCTGATTTCCCCCCAGTGACATTTCTATGGTATATTTATGCACCTGATAAGTTTTCTCACGTTATATTTGCATCCTTTCTAGACAAACCTACCAATCTTCAAACTGAAAGATTCATGTGTTAGAAGGAGGTACAGTGATTTTGAATGGCTGAAAAATGAGCTGGAGAGAGACAGCAAGGTAAGTGTGGGGCTGTATGTACATTATTCAAAGCAAAGATAGAAAATCTCTTCTGAATTTTTAACCTGTGCACTTAAATTACATACCTGGCATTAGCTTAGAGACGAATGCGTCATTTAAAATTACGTGAACCATTAACCTTGGGTAATATACAACAAAATGAATTCAGTTTTTCACAGTTTAAACAATTCATCCCTCTACACTTAGGAAGGCAGATCTGCTACAGTAAACAATTTGTGTGCAGCAGCCTTTGTCATTTTGAAATAATATGCATTTTCAACCACTGGTGACTCGGAAGTAGCATCGGGACCCGTTGTTGATTTAGTGGCTAACAAGGCTGCCTTTGAGATACCTTTATATAATGTTAAATGATTATATTCAAACAGCAGTGTTAAAGATATATTGTGGTAGTCTGAGGTCTAATTTAAATTTGCATATCTGTGCTACAAAGTAAGAAGATTTAAAATGTTTTCTTTAAAGATATCTTGATCTTTAGCGGAGCTAGGCAACCTGCCGCACTCCTATCCAGATGTAGTGGACGTCTCTGGTGCTTTTTCCAGGTGTAAGAGAATTATGGAAGATGCAGTCTACAACATCTGGGGTGCTGAAGGCTGTATCCTATTGATCTATACATTGACTAGCACATGTATATGTTAGCAAAATGTTTTTAAAATTACAATCTTTGACCATTGCAATGACAGTCGCATAAAAACATGAAATTGGTTCATTTTCATATTTGAAAATATGAAGCATAATTGTAAACTTTTATATATTTTCTTTGTCAAATACATCTAATTTCAGAAACACAACTTGACAAAAAAACAAAACATTTTGTATCAAAAACGCCTTTATGAAACCAAATGGAAACAATGCAGTGTCCACAAGGCTTTAACCCCTTAAGGACACATGACATGTGTGACATGTCATGATTCCCTTTTATTCCAGAAGTTTGGTCCTTAAGGGGTTAAAGGGACACTCCAGGCAGCCCTTTTTATTCACCTCGTTCCAGCGCAGGGAGCCTTGTGAAGCCGCGCCCCCTATTTCGTCAAAATGACGAAATAGGCGGACGCAAGCAAGGAGCAATCAGACGCTTCCGTTCGGAAGCGTCATTGCTCCCTTGTGCGCATGCGCGGCTTTGCCGCACATGCGCACATACGTCATATTCCGCCCTATGAAGTCCTGAGCGCTGTTGCGCGCAGTGTGCGCAGCCGCGAGCTAAGCTGACTGACCGCTCAGCTTGCGGTTTTTGCCCGCTCCCTCTCCTCTGCTGACAGACAGGAGAGAGAAGGCGCGCGCACACAGTGCCTTCTCTCTCCAGCACATGTCAGATGTATTTTAATTTAAGTCTGACGTGTACATGGCCTTTTTAGGGCCATACATGATAGGAAGTCCCTCTGGTGGCCGTCTGAGTGACTGCCACTGGAGGTATTCCTATCAATCAATGTAAACACTGTATTTTCTCTGAAAATACAGTGTTTACATTAGATTGCCTGCAGGAAGCTATAGATCTCACCTGAACAACTACATTAAGCTGTAGTTGTTCAGGTAAATATAGTGTCCCTTTAAAATAACTTACAGAAGTGAAAAAATATAAAAAATAATCCACTTGGCCAAGGGACTAAAGTGTTAACCCACTCTACTGGTCCTGGCACAAAATAATTAAATGATTACCTGACATGCAGGTAATTATCGAAACTGAATATGCATACTTTTACTTTTTTTAATATTATCCTTCAGCTCTAGTGAACATTAATTTGCACTTTGGGAGATAATCATGTCATTGGTGAAAGCACTCTTTCTCCCAAGTCCATGACTTCTGGCCCTTTACAAATGAAAGAATTCTTTAACTTGCTGTACCCCAGGTTTGGGTATAACTGAGCGAGTATGTGATCCCTATATAACTATCAAGGTATTTATTTAATATTATGAATTATACTCAAAAACCTCATATATGCTTTAAGCCCTAGACATTGAGTAGGTTATTTGAGGAACTTTGAATTTTCCCAAGAGTAGACTACAGTACTCACTCACTTCCTTGTGTTCCTGGTGTTCACGAAGTCGGGCCTGGCAGTCGCACTCTTTCTACCTCTAGAATAGTTAAATGTATTGTACTCTTTGCAGCTTCTAAAAGCTGTTTTGATCTCCTCTATCAGGGAGTACTTTTTTGGTGCCAGATTCTATTCTACTTACTGAATGGTAAAATATAAGTGAGAAAACTGAATGCTGTAATCTTGAAACACCTTCATGCAACTTATTAATAAATTGAAATTCCACCATGTGCAAGGTGCAATAAAATAGAAAATATTTATATTTGGATTCTTCTATAATTCTTGTAATGCAATAGAGTTGCAGATTCTCCATAAAAAATATTTTAATGGTCTCAAATATACCCTACAATGAAATAAATGTATCTGAAAAGGAAATATGCACATTTTATAAAATATACTGATAAAAATGTATTTAAAAAACAGGGGGGGGTGGAGGGGGGTACAATTGGGGTTTTTTTTAATTAAAAAAGAAGTTTAAATTTTAAATAGAAATTTTTAGTTTAGGTATCTGTATGTGTATATTTTGTTCTTCTCCTTTAACCTTTTCTCGCTGTGTATTTTGAGGGTATTTTTAGAACTGTGAGAAATGCCAGAATGTGTTATTTAGTTGGTGCAGGGCTAGTAACCCATCTCATAATTAAAAAAAAAAAAATATTGTTTGTTTTTTCAGATTGTAGTACCTCCACTACCAGGAAAAGCTCTAAAGAGACAGCTTCCATTCCGAGGAGACGAGGGCATTTTCGAAGAATCCTTCATAGAGGAAAGACGGCAGGGCTTGGAACAGTTTATTAACAAGTAACCTTACTTTTAAACCTTTAACATGTCTTTATTTATAAAATATTTTACCAGGAAAGATACATTGAGATTTCTCTAGTTTTCAAGTATGTCCTGGGTCCACAAATCATTGCATTGTTACATTAGGGTACAATAAAATACAAAAACAATATTAATACACAATAAATACAAAATTTAACATAGAACAGGTAGGAAATATATAATCAACCATGACAGGTGCATTCTTCTTTATACTTTTTAAATTACATCTGCATCAATCACATTTTATAGTATGTTAGAAAGTAATTTTGTAAGAACATCAAAGTATAGTAATGACATCTACCTATTTATATACATTATACATCTGTATTTTCATCTAATGCCAGCTCCTATGATTTGTTTTTAATAGTGGGATTGCGGTCTGAAGTTTGTAAATTACACAAAATAATTTAACACTTTTTTTAAAATATCTCAATAAATGTTTTCTGTGCTTAGTTTTTTTGTTTTTGTTTTTCCCTTCCAGTCCCTTCCTCATTTTTGGAAGGAGGAAATTACATTTAATTAAGCCCTGATGCCAAATATAAGTTGAGTCAGTTTCAGTTACTTCTGTATTGTAGTAAGAACAGCCTAGCATTCAATGCAAATTAAAATAAGTTGTATAATATAATTAAATGGTACTGGTTATGCAGCTACTGCATTTTTGGAATACGTGGCTTTTAAAAATCTTTTTTATTTAGTTTTGATAAGAAGGGGGCATGTTGTGATTATATTTTATGGGAGTGGCCCATCTATCAACTACCCTCGAATTTAAGGGGCCACTATAGTCACCAGAACAACTAGAGCTAATGTTTGTTCTGGTGAGTATAATCAGTCCCTTCAGGCTTTTTGCAATAAACACTCTTTTATTCAGGGAAAAGGCAGTATTTAGATTACAGCCTAGGGATACCTCCACTGGCCACTCTTCATATGGCTACTTTAGGTGCTTCCTGGGGCAGTGCTGCACACTATGCAGCACTGCCATTCAATGTCTCCACCCTCTGCATGGAAATACTGAACTTTCGTCATAGATGTATTGATTCAATTAATCTCTGAGAAGATGCTGATTGACCAGGGCCGTGTTTGGCTTGTTGCTTTACCTCCTTGACAAGCTCAGCCAATCCAATGCTTTCCTATGGAAAAACATTGTGATTGGCTTTGATCAACACTTCTTATGATGTCAGCCAAGAAGACCGATCAGGAGCAGAGCCAGCAGCAGGCTGGAATATAAGTAAGATTTTACTATGTTTAGAGGGGCCAGGGGAGCTAGACTGTGTTTTTAACACTGTTGGGTCAGGAATACATGTTTGTGTTCCTTTAATATTATTTGCTTATTTTAGATTGGCTGTCGTCCTGATTTTGTTTATCTGCTGCTGTATTCCCCTTTTGTAAAATTGTAGAACAATGTGAAGTATGTTAATTTTTAGCAAACTAAATCCAGCTATTGCACTTTTCCCAGATACTACTGCTCTGCACACACTTCTGCTTGCCTTTTCTGTTTTAACAGGCTATCTTTCCTCATAAATGTGTATAGCAATGCTTTTGAAGTATTTCCAACCTAGTATGTTTTGTTAATTTTTTTTTTTTTTGGTCATCTTATGTTGGCAGATGAATATGTTGACCCTCACTACTGCATAGCAATTAGCTTTTTTTTCATATAGTTTTTATACAGTGTCTCCATTTTAATCTTCTCTAAATTTGCTTACTTTGCAGGATCGCTGGACATCCCCTTGCACAGAATGAGCGCTGTCTGCATATGTTTTTGCAGGATGAAATCATTGATAGAAATTATGTGCCAGGCAAAGTGCGCCAATGAGAGATCTAGGCATTTCCTCAGCCCTCCTTGCCCTCACATCCCCACTGCCTGCTAAATTACATTTATTTTTACACTAAGTCTCCAATTTTACCCCATTTCTTAGTTCCCTGGTGTCCTTAAAAAGGTCACTCTGTGTTCAATGCCTGTCTGGGCACTCCCTCTCAGAATGCTGCCTTTTGAGACTGCAGATGGAAGCATTTTAAACAAGCCTGGCTGCCATCAATAACCTTCCCCTGCTTGGAATTTGGAAAGGGTGCATCCCAAAGATTATTTTTTTGTTTTGTTTTTTATTATTTTTTTGATCATTGGGATGAAGGTAATCTGACATGCAGGTAATTATCGAAACTGAATATTCATACTTTTACTTTTTTTAATATTATCCTTCAGCTCTAGTGAACATTAATTTGCACTTTGGGAGATTATCATGTCATTGGTGAAAGCACTCTTTCTCCCAAGTCCATGACTTCTGGCCCTTTACAAATGAAAGAATTCTTTAACTTGCTGTACCCCAGGTTTGGGTATAACTGAGCGAGTATGTGATCCCTATATAACTATCAAGGTATTTATTTAATATTATGAATTATACTCAAAAACCTCATATATTGTATAAGCTGCACAATAGCACAAAATACATATTCTCTGATATGACTAACCACTGCGTTTTAAGAATGACCTATCCCACAGAAACCTAAATTTGATCTATAGCATTAATTCTGAAATGCTTAATACTGTGTGCCAAGAGTAGAATGCCTGCAGAAGATGACAAATATGTGAACGATTGGACATCAGAGTGAATTTTTTTTTGTGGCTAGACCTGAAGAAGAGCTTGTATTGGTTATGTCACTGTAAAAGGAGAAGAGAGGCCTCACCATTTGAAATTATGTTCAAGCTTCAGAGACATTGTTTTTCTTCATTTGGAGATCTAGAAGATGATGTTCAATGCCTGTATAACACAATAGCCTCCTGATATCCATAGGCAGGGGGTGGTGGTAATGCTCAAATGAAGGGGTCGGTTATTTGTGCTGAACTTCTAGTAGGTTTGGCTTTAAAGCTGCTTCTAATAAGCCCTTGATATGAGAAACCTGTTTAGTTAGCTCTAGATGAGATTGGGAAATTATATTTGTCTTTGATCAGCTTAGGATGCAGCAAGTTATTGATCAACTCAGTGTGGGAGTCAGGGGGAATCATGGCTCACTAGACAGGGCACTGTCTCAAGTGCACAGAAACGTTTTATCACTTTATATATATATATTATTTTTTTTTATATATATATATTTTGGGGGGCCCGGGGATCTGAATGTCTTTGCTGCCTGTGTCCTTGTGCTGGAGACCATGTCTGTGTATATAAATATCTATATCTGACATTTGGACTTGGTGTTTTCACTCGTTTGTTATAATTTATACGTCTCCTTGGTAGCACATAAATATCGGTTATGTATGGAAATATAATAGAACTCGTCTGAACCCCTGCAAAGCAGTAACTGGTTGGGTACAAGCACATATACATCTGCAAATGTAGAATCAGCATTATTTTTATGCAGGAGTGATCTGTAAGCTACTTGTACTACAAGTGACACTTAAAGTGGAACTCTAAGCAACATAATCACTTCAGTGTGGTGGTTATGTTGCCAAAGGTCTAATAGTTTAGGGAAACACTAAGGGCCTGGGGTGGGGTGGGGTAGGGGAGGGGAGGGAAGGGAAACACCAAGGGCCAGGGTGGGGGAGGGGAGGGAAACACTAAGGGCCAGGGGTGGGGTGGGGGAGGGAAACACTAAGGGCCAGGAGTGGTGGGGGGAGGGGAGGGAATCACTGTGGGGTGGGGGAGGGGAACACAGGGGGGCCTGTGTGGGGAGAAAGTTGCACAGAGGGACTGGGGATGAAAACGACATACGGAAGGGCCTGGGGTGGAAATACAAAGAGGCTGGGGGCGAAAGAAAAATGTGCAAAGGAGCTGGAAAGAGTAAACGACACAAAGCGGCTGGGAGGAGTGAGACACAATGGGGAAAATAGGGCATAAGATACACTAAAGGGGATAAGAAACAAAAAGCAGGTTAAGAGGCATACAGGTGAAGATTCTCCCAAAATGCTGCCAAAATCATCTTCGCCTGTGTACCCAAAAATCTTGCACTGGCCCTGAGCGCAACCAACAAAAATTAAATTATGACACTACAACAAAGAAAGATTTAGGTTCTGTTTAAACATTTCCAAATAATAGGAATGGATCCACAAAATCCTAATGGTATGGGCAACTTCTGAAATGGGTACATAACCCCTGACAACAGGTGAGTAACCGTCAGTATGATAGTATGAAGTGTGGAGTTTGTTTAATCCCATAGGCAGACAAATATCACTTGGCAAATTAATAGGAAAAAAGTTTTGAAAATTAGTCTTTATGTAGTGAAGTTTCATCCTGATCAAAATAAAAGGGAGAAAACAATGGTATAGGTTGCAGGAGTGGTGACTATGCACTGTGTAAAATTTCCTTCCTGCTAAATAGTGAAATAGTTTTATCACTCAGTGTTGATCTCTACCTTTACCCCCTCCCCCAAGTTTCCAAATCCAGTGAATACTCTCATGAAATTTAATGTGAAAATATTCCCCATTTAGAAAAGTCATCATAAAGGGACATGCTCATTTTCATATCTAAATCGGGATTAGCATAATGTACCATTTTAAGGGTTATCTCTGAAAATAATGCCACAGGTAAATGTATATTAAAGTGGAACGGTCATTATTTGAGGTCTTGGCATATTATGTGACTGTGCAGCTTGGTGTTTAACATGGGAGCTACAGTGCATATTACCTGATGCTGTCCCCCGAAGCCGCTGCCATCTTTTTTTTTTTTGCTCCTGGTGCATCAACTGTCAGGAGCCCATGTCAGTGCTCTACTCTTGTATGTACAAGAGTACAGCACTGATGGCTTTGAAGGAGATTGTGGACACTTCAATAGATGTTGCCTCATGATCAGCGAGACAATGTCTTTTTCCAACAGGGACTTGACAAAACTTGATGGCAGTAATGCTAACTTTTGTGAAGCATAGGAAAAATGCAGAAGACAAAATAGTCACTGTATATTCTTATATCTTTTGACTGTGTTGGAATTTCAGTGAAGGTGGTATATTGGGAGACAGACCCGCTTTAACTATGACCGTAGCATTAACCTATGTCTTTGGAATTTAAGCTTGAGAAGGGTCTGAATGCAGGTCACCAGTCCTAATCTGAAGAAATCTGAATGTAAAGGCATTTGGATTTGAGAGTAGAGCAAAAGTAGTACAGTAGGTCAGTAGTGTTGCATTATGTATCAGTGGTGATTCTGTTAACTAATGTTTTTGAGATTTAGTCGACTAAAACAATTCAGATGATTAAAATGGCCTTTTTCCTGTAATATGGTGGCAGTACTACTGGGTTTTGCTCCTCCCTGTGGACAAGACATCTAAAAAGTAATTAAAGATCAAAAAGACCCTCCCCCGGGGGCGTGGCCTGGGCTCCGACGAACATGGCCGCCTAAGCGCTGAGCTCCGCTCCACAACAGCACACAGAACGGAACACCCCACTACTCACCGGCGTGCACTGCCACCAATGGGTCGTACAAAGAGAGGGGACCTCCCCCAGACCCCCAAACCTTCGGTCTCGGGATCGCAAACGGGGCCGATGGATGAGTTCCTCCACGCGCCATGCGGCCCGGACCCCAGCTCCCCGACATCCAAAATGGCGCCGACCTCGCCAGCATCTACATGCTCCACTGCCGACACGACTACACTGGCAGACATAGGAGCAGAACTGAAACGCATGGCAAAGAAGATGGTCACAAAAGACGACCTCACCCACCTGACTAACAACATATATGAAGCAATTAAATCTGAAGTGAACGGCCTGAAGGCCGAAATTAAAGCACAGGAACACCGCATACAGCAGGTGGAAAAAAGGGCACAGACCACTGAAGACCACTCTACAGCCACAGACACGGCCCTCAAACGCCAGGGCACCCTCATACTGGCCATGAGGCGACAGCTAGAAGACCAGGACAACCGCAGTCGTCGCAACAATATCAGGGTAAGGGGGATACCTGAATCTCCAGAGGGGGAAAATATAGAAGAGATGCTCACCTCCCTATTCCGCATCATCCTAAGGGAGGACACACCAGCGATTATTAAATATGACAGGGCACATAGAGCACTCCGCCCCAGGCCCACGGAGGGAACCCCCAGGGATATAATATGCTGCCTGCACTCCTTCGCCACCAAAGACATGATCATGAGGAAAGCTAGATCCAGGGCCCACTGGAACTACAGGGGCGCAGAAATATCCCTCTACAATGACCTATCACCAATGACCCTGGAGGCTAGAAGAGCCCTGAGACCGGTTACCACCATCCTGAGGGAGAGGAATATGCAATATAGATGGGGTTACCCATTTAGCATCACAGTTAGGTATAATAATGAATGGGTCTCCGCCCGCTGGCCAGAAGACATTCCTCAATTCCTACAACGCCTGAACCTACCGCCAACCCCGGTTCCGAACTGGATATTCATGCCACTGGATTCAAGACCACAACCGCAGCGACAAGCAAGGCGAAGAAGATGGAACTCTCAAGGTGAAGCTCCGCGACACCGACCAGACCTAAACAACCCAGAGGAATAACCCAATACCAGACCAACTGACACCGCTCCGGCAGACCCCACAACCCCGAGACAACACAGACAGATGACACCCACGTTGGAGAAGCACCTGGAGGCAAACCCGCACCCCAAGAATCAGGTACTCTGACATAGGGTAGTTAACATATTGGCACGAGTCTAACAGAGGGGACACTCTACCTACCCCCCTGGCATGGGAGGGCACCACGCCTCACCACGAGACTGACCGGACTAGGGGATATCTCACATGCAAATGGGTCTTCCACAACACGGGAGGGTTCTAAACAAAAAAAAATAAAAAATAAAATATATAAAAAAAATAAAATAAATAAAAAAAAAAAGGGGGGGATGAAAAGGGAGGGGCGGGAAGAAAACGACAGCGGGGGAATGAATCCTATTGGGGAGGGGGATCACAGGGGGGAGGGCCGGGGGCATAGAGATCGGGCCTTAGAGATCTCCGGCAGCATTGACTTTCGTGAAGACGAAGAACTGATTCCACACTAAATGTATAGCTGGCTTGCTACTATTTCTTGTATGGGAGATTAATTTAGGGGGAGGGGAGAGGAGGTTCATAGGGTATGACACTAAATTGTATACAGAGACTGAACACTAATTTTTTGTGTCCGGATATCCCAGTGATGTAATCTGTAATTGTGAGACCAGAGATTGTTCTTTATAGTACGATTATTGTGAGTCACCTATCTTAAATGGCTAGACTATGCAACATCACTCTGTGTCACTGACCAAGCCCCTCCCCCCCACGTCAAAGGGACCGACATACATAGATAACACGCTTCCAAAGAGGTCCATACACTCACAATTCCCCCACACAGACGACACACTGATGTCGAGAAGATACTAAGCAAACGACCATCCCACCACCCCCTAGAGGAACAAAAGGTACGGGGGATGGGACAAGAGGACATAGAGGAGGGAGGGGGGAAAGAAGGGAAAAAAAAAAAAGAATATATATACCCACATGTCCCAGATGAAACAACCCAGACATAATGAGTAGAAGACCCACAATGCACACACCCTGAAGAGATATCCCCAAGCCCCCACTTTGACTACACGCAAATTACCCTTACGGTACTTCCCCCCACCTGATACCGACGACACCGAAAAGGCGCAACAAACAGGCATAGTGCTGATAACACAATGGACACACATCAATGGCATTAGTGATGACTATACAACACCTCTACTACAGTGGACGGACGCTACAACCCCAAAACGGATATACACTACACAAATAACAGATTCTTCCGACGATACACAACCCTTCTCAAGTATCAACTCCACAACCAACACCGCACATACCACACAGGCACCACAGCCTAAACAGATAGGGGCCCAGACACGCTACCCACCCCTTTCGGTGCGCACGCTTAATACTACGGAGGCCGACTGGTACACCACTGGGATAAAACCCGGGGTGCCCCCCCGACCGACACCGTAGGCACACGAACTCCCTCTCCGCAGAGAGGATCACCTCCTCACACTATCACGACACGCGCACCACATCTATACTACTCTCCAACATCCAATTAAGAAACACACACCCCCACTACACGAACCAGACACGGTGCCTGACATCACCAAAAGGCACTAAACCTGAGCAGACGACACCCCTAGACCACACAAGAGCAAATACCAACACACCACATACACCAGACACCCTACACGTGACCGCAGTCCGGCAACTCACCCGAACACCCCCCCCGGCGCTCCTGACCCGGCCGTCGCGTCCGCCTCGAACTAACCGCCAGACGACGCAGGGACACCGAACCACACCAAAACCCAGGAACCAAGCCACGGGCTCGGGCTTCCTCGGTCGACTCTCACGTACACAAGAGAGCGAGACTCGGACGAGGGACCCCGATACCCGACAAGACACACCGCTGCGCGGAGATACGGGCAAGATGGCATACAGACCAGACCCAATGAAAATCATCACACAAAATTGCAGGGGACTGAATCTCCCAGAACGCAGAACTAATCTCTTGAGGGACC